TCAGAGTTAAGTTTTACACAGATATTGTAATTCCATTGGCTGTTTCAAATCAGTTGCTGTTATGTGAGCATATTTTAAATAAGTTCCTTCTTTATGAATGAAGATGCTTTATCATAAAGAAGACTTGCAGAAAATTAGTTGTGTCATTCCCACACACATACATTGTTTCTTTTTTCCCCCCAAATACAGACTTTTAAAATAAATATATTTTGGGTTATTTTGAAGTGATCCTATCACTATTGTAGAGGACAAACTTAGAGGTTAAGTTTAAGGTTTAAAATATTTCCATTTTTCTTTAGTTATTAGCATGGTCCTAATTATGCAATTCACAATTTCTTTTGTGTCCTGCCATTTGTTCCCATCCTTTGTTTGACACAGGAGGACATTCATAAAATAGTTTTATTTTGAGGGATGAAAAAGGAGAATTGAGAACAGTCAGATGCAGTTTTCCTTCTTGATTAGGCCATATTTCTTCATTGTCTTTACTGTGTGAGTAAAATATTGGTTTTGTCAGGTTGGGGGCCAGACTGGATTGTCCATATTGTTCTGCTACTAAGCAGACTATAAACTGCAGGTTTTTAAGTAAATAGGGAAGGTTTGAAGCTGAACTGAAAAAAATGCAAGGAATGTATGCATAGTCTGTGACCAGGTAGGAGATACATACCCTCTGTGTGTGCATATGTATATCTGCATATGCAAGGAGAGAGAGAGCTTAGGCAAGGTGCTCCCTTGAGCTCTGATTTAATTTCGTGTCCCACTCAAACCTCTGTGCCCAGCAGTGTCTGTGTGGAGTCAGAGAGTGGGGGAGGGAAGGTTGGTTTCCCTAACTCAGCTGTGCTCTCTCTTCTAGTTTGCTTTTTCTGTTATAATGAACACAGGAGGGGAAAAAAATTACACTCCCAAATTCTTATTCCCTCTATTCCTTCTATTTCATCCTGTTCTCTTTTTGTTGCTCCTAAAATCTCCATAAACGTCAGCCTCTACACCTTAATACTTGTTTGCAGTGCTTTACAAAGTAGCCCACAGGATGATGTGAAGGGTGTACCATTGTTGATGATGTGCTTTGTTTACCACTACCAGCGCATGCAGGATCCAGTGATCACGACAGACTGGCACAGTAGCCCACTGTTACTGAGCTTGAGACTCTCTCTGCATTCTTTCAGCTATCCTGTTTGTCAGAGACTGTGGGGAAAAGTGGGAGACTAGGGTTCTAATGAGAGATCCAACACTGCAGGACTCCTTTCCAAATGATGGCAAATCTGATTATTCAGGGCAAATATCATATTACTTCTTTTATTTAGCTTTCAGACAGAGTCAGCTGGAAAAAGGCAGAAGGGAAGGATTGAAAGAACAGGTTGTAGTCAGGGATGAAAGGGAAACAAAAATTCCTGAAGGCAAGCAAGGAGGCAAGGAGGCTGTCGATTTGCAGGGACTTGCTGTTCATCCCAAGGTGTTCCTGAGGTGTTAAGAGACAAGCAGGGCAGAAATGACCTCAGGGGTATCTGTGTGCACACTACCATCTAGCTAAGCTGTCTACCTTACCACTGAGATACTGAAATTGCTTGAGAAAATTAGCAGACAAGCAGATTGCTTTATGTAATTTGGGGATTAATTTCATTGAGTAATTTGTTTTCAGCAAGGTTGATAATGAAATAAGCATTTATTAAAGAATTGCAGTCTGTCTAGTCTTCCCTTCTCATGTGAGTTAAACTGTAATGGCTCTCATAGTGTGACTGCCCCAAGTGTTATTAGTTCTATGTGTGGTTCTCTGTATTTTGTACTGACTCGCATTTTCAATGTGTTAGGTCTTAATTTTTTTCCCCTATGAACTTGTATAATGATTGTTCAGGGCACCTAATATTGGCTATAGGCATTTTATCTTTAAAGCATAGCTACGAAAGCAACATATTCTCAGCACAGTTGAGAAAGTGGATCTTCTGGCACCTTGTGGTGCTTCATTTTGGAGGAGTGGCAAATGATTTTGTTGTCTAGATAGGCTGTAAATCGTGTTGCTGGAAAGTTTTCATGACTTGTGCACATCAAGATTCCACTGTAGGCAGTAGGAAGTCAGCAATTTTAATGACTTTTAAGAGGTTTTGATTAGTCTCTGCACAAGGCTTCTTGTCTACAGTTCCTTCATGTTCTGGAATAACGCATTCAGAAAAAAAATACTAAATGAAACTTCATCAATAATTCTCAGATTTCAGCAGATATAATGAAAATGTTGTGGAGTTAACACATTGCAATACTTCAGCTATTTTAGGTACGATGTCACCAGAGGTATTTAAATGCCATTTATTTGTATTCCTTTCTAAGTCTAAGAGCTGTCATTGACCATGAATGTGGTATTTCAGCCTAAAGATTTTTTTTCAAATGTGAATGAAATTCACTGTTCATTGCTATTAATAACAAGTACTAGCCTGTGTTTAGCCAGAATTAGATTTTTCATGGAAGTAGCACATATATTCTGATTTTTGCATTAAGCAGATTGTGCTGTTGAAAGCCTCAAAAATGCTTCCAAGAGCAACTAACATCCACATGTCAATGCACTGTATGAAAGCATTAAAGATTCCCCACCACATCCACTGCCAGACAAATGGAAATGACATTCATAGGATTTAGCCAAAGCCTCTCTGCATGTAAAGTGGAAAGAGCCAGGAGCTCCCCAAAAGGAGTAATTCCTTCAGATGTAATTCAGGTGCACTGAGTTTCTGTGGGTGACCCACCGCAAGCCACTCTTTCTGGGAGGGTGTAGCGGTGGAAGCAGGCTGGGTGTGACAGCGAGAGCAGTGAGCTGGTGCAGCAGCCTGACTTATGAGAAGACTGGAAAGGGTCATGACATCTTCCTTTGTAAGGAGAAAACAGCAAAGCTGCTTCAATCATACCACAACTATTGTGGAGAGAAAAAGCAGTTTCTAAAAAAAGATTTGGCTTTCAGTGAGAACTTGGTGGGTTATTCAGATGAGTGTGAATACAGGAACTTCTGCCTGAGTTCACCCTCAGATCTGCACAGCACAACTCAGGGAAGACTTTTTGTTTAGACAAAGGGTGCTTAAGAGAAGAAAAGTAATTGTCAAGGAGTTCTTCAGCAAGAGAAAGACCAATCAGCATTTTTGTTCAGGGCCACAATTGAAAGACTCAAGTAGCATGTTGATTCAAATCTCATTGGAAATTTGTTCCAGAGTAAGAGATTAAGAGTGTGAGTAGGTGATCTCTGTGGAGAAATAACATGTTTCTGATTCACAGGTACTGAGCATAACCACTAAGTAACTGAGTTCTCTCAGCCCTCCGTGAAGAGTTACTGATTAGCTCAGAGTTTACATGAGGAACTAAGTCTACTTTCTTCAGGAATGATAGGCTAAAAATATGATGGAAAAGTTCCTGTTCTGTTGCTTCCTTGATTTGCAGTCTTCCTCCTCATAGTCCTTGAATTGAGGACTTTAACATCCTTATGTGTTAGGAAATCTTTGTCTGAAAATAGTGCCAAAGTTCTCTGTCCTGTATTTCTGATTTGAAAATCACTTACTGTATTTTCCTGATTCCCTAACAGTTCACTTCTACCCTGAAGAATTTTTGCAACTGAAATAAATTTTTAAAACTTATTTTGTCTCTATTTGCACAATATATCATGCTGTCGCCTACTGCAAGAAATAATAAATCATCTTTAGGATAATGCATGTTACTGAAAATATTAGATTAAAACAAAACATCTTGTCTGTGCTTTTAGAATCAATGATAATGCTGAGACTTAAAAAAAAATTGAAATAACTATAACTGAGATAAAGAAAAATGTTTATAAAGCCAGGAGTCACATATGAGGCCAAACTCCAGTAATGGCTTCAAGATTCTTGAGACATGACAATAATTTTTGCCCAGTTATAGCTGTGAAAAGTGGATGTCAAACATTGCCATTTGCACCTGGAAGATCACTTAAAAGGAACCAAAGAGTGTATAACACAGGGAAGGCTGTATTAAATCTGTTGTGGGAAACTTCATTTAAAAAAGGTGTGATTTTGTGCCCTGAGATGCTGTGTCATTTTCTGTGCCTATGTTTCTACATGAATGGGATATTCACTTTCCTTAGGTGTATTTTTGTCTAGTCTCCCTTTCAACAAGCTTCATCTTTCTACATGCATTTATTCTCCAACTTCCTCTGTGCTCCATGAGGTACAGAAAGCTAACACTCAGCCATAATCTATCTAATAAATGTAGATATTTTTGAGTTCAGTGTTTGAAGTGAAGTGTCAGGCATTAGCAGCCCAAGAAAGAAGTGCTTTTATAGCTTGCAGTTGAGGGCTTGTGTCACATGTTGTCAGGAATGGTGTGGAACATGAGGATATTGAAACATGCAAACTGGAACAGAGGTTGAGAATAGTGCAGAATAAAGGAAACTGAGTTTGGATGCAGAAATCTTCATGCTGCCTTTTAGGAATGATCTCTGGATTGGACTGCCACCAAAATCATGTTCTGATCTTACAGTGGTTACTGTCAAGTGTTTTTGAAATAGTGAGGCTTCCCCAGAGCATGGAACATGATTAAAAACTTATGAAGAAATGAATGTAAAATGATACTGATTTAATTGAAACTGTTAAACAGTACTGAAATAATTGACTAGCACAATACTAGATTGCCAGCATTTTACACTGATCTTCCTGTGTAAGTATTTTATAATGGGAAATACAATGGAAAAGTAAGTCCAGTGTTCATTTTTTGTGTGATTTTTGATTTACAGCAGTCTTTGTAACAGTTTTTTTGACATAAACTTAGCAATATTTTGCAAGAATGAAGTTAGTATTTATTCACCCACACAATGCGTATATATGTTTCCAGTATATTCTGATCCAGATACTGGGCTTTTGGAGTCTTTCAAAAGTGGCCTTTTAAAAGTGCACAGGAAGAGCTGTGCACTTTTAAAGAGCGCTTCCAAGAGCTCTTATTTATGATGTTTGTAAGTTCTGACAATAAACAAAAATTAACCTCTTAGCTTTCCTTTCTTGTAGGGTGATAGCTCCTATGTAAAGGATCGTTGGTGTGTGTTTGATGGATTCATGGTCTTTTGTCTTTGGGTGTCACTGGTTTTACAGGTAATCATTTCACGTTCTTTTACAATGAATAGTTCCTTAATTGTGAAAACACTTGGCACAATCAAATAAATGTGAGTTGTGGAAGTAGACTTGTACATGGATCAAATTGTTTTAAAAAAACATGCTGAATTCGACGGATTTATAATTGCACATTGCAGCCTATCTACATTAGTAGTAGAATTTTTCTTGATTATTTTTTCTTATTTGATCTGAAACTTGTTAACATAAACCCTGTGCAGTCAGGAGGAGAAAGAGGATCTTCAGAGAGACATTTCTCTCTTACTCCACATGATAGTTGTGCTCATTTCCTTCCACTGTGTCCAGTAGGGTGCCATGGTGACTGGCTCAGGCACCTAAAGGGAGAATTATTCCAGTGGTAGATGTTTGCCGTTCTGTAGTTGTAATGATATAGTGAGTGGAGTGGTTTCATGTAGTATCACTCATACCTAACAAAAAAATTTCTAAAACTCATGTTAAAGCACAATGAAAAAAAAACCCAAAACATTTGGAAACAGTTTGATAAACTTTTATAAAGAAGGGAACTTGGACATATTGCAAAAAATTGCAGTGTTAAGGTATAGGTGAAATTTTAATCAATCAGTCCTTAACTGTAGCAGGTTTTCTGGATAAGAACAGGTTGAAAACTCTGACATTGAGTTTACAATAGCATAAGGATTATAAAAGTTTTGTATTGATTGCTGTTAGGCACTTATAAAATTTCTGACAAATTTAAGACACATTGTAATTTTCTGCTTTTTACACAGGGGAGACTTTGGTACACCTTATACACATGCAGAATGAAGGTTGATTGTTACAGATAAGAACTGTACGTTACCCAGTTTATGCATTGTCAGGTTCCCTCTCCATTTTCTCAGGACTTTGAGCAAACATTAAATCAAACAGTTACTCTCCGAGTGAGAGACAGGGATTAAAACAAGGTATTTGCACCCAATCATTCAGCTAAATACTCTATTGAGTGCATAACCTTGGCTGAAATTTATATTGTAAGTGGAGTCTAGGAGACGATGTACAATTTTGTCATGCACTTGGAATTAAATGGAGAATTTATAATCATGTTGCAATTCATAGGCAGTCTGTGTATATGTACTTTTATATCACAGTAAAAACCTTAGTGCAGTGCAATGTTAACAGATACTGATTGTCATATTGGAACTATATTAATACTTCCAGCAATTTTGTGGGAAACATGTGGGGTAGGACTGGCACAGAAACAGGCCATTAGGGTAATTTAGAAGTGAATGAAAGTATTTACAAATACTTTTCTTTTTAAAAGTGTGGTAGAAATAAACTGTAAAGTAAGCCAAGATTGAAAATGAAAATAAAAAACATGTATAGTATTAATATTTTCAAAAGCTCTGGAAGTGAACACAGGTGAAGGACAGGGTTCTTCAAGACAAGCTACTGATTCTTTTATTTGTAGGTGTTTGAAATAGCTGAAATAGTTGACCAGATGTCACCTTGGGGCATGTTACGGATTCCACGACCACTCATTATGATTCGAGCATTCCGAATATATTTTCGTTTTGAGCTGCCAAGAACAAGGATAACAAATATCTTGAAGTAAGTAAGGCTGTTGTCTGAAAAATAACAAAGCTTATTTAAGTTTTGACTTGGAAGACTGACTGTGTAGTCAATCAATGACCCTTCGTGCTTAATGGGCATTTTCCTCCTGAGTTTTAGTTCGGACCAGAAGATTGTTGTTATTTTCTATGTTCAAGGAATCGTCATGTTTTATAGAAAACAATCAGAACTTTCAAATGTTTAAATAAATTTTAAAGTATTTTTGCTGATAAATGTCGCCAGCAATCTTCAACCAATGGCAGTAAATTCTGTTCCATTAATATGGCCATTTAATAATCAAAGTGAATACCCTTGGTAGGGTAATACTTTTACATAACATTACGTGAGCATATGCCCTGGCCATTCCAGTTACTAGTATGCTTATATTGGTGTGTATACAGAAATACAAAGAAACATGTGTAAGTGTGCTTGGTACAGCATGTAATGGCAAAATACATGTCATGGTAACGTGAAAGAGTTTTTGGTCTTTATTCGATATCAAGTTTATTTCATTACCGTATCTCATCTGTGTGAGTCATTAAATACAACTTTACAAAAGCCAGATTTTACACATTTTATTTGGGTGTTTTTTCCACCCTTTGCAGTTTTCAGCTGGTTTAATTACCCTGACTTAGGGGCTTATAAAAAAATCACAGCCCCCTTTTCTACTTGTGCACAGAGTGAGAGAACATTTTTAAGAAGAAATGTTCTTTGGGATGAAATACTGCTCTCTTTGCTTGAGCATATTTTCTATTGTATAGATTCTATTCTTTTCAGAGGAGGCTTCGCATTGCCTGTGCTTTCAGTGACCTGTTTATCTTTTTGCCAGGCGTTCTGGAGAGCAAATATGGAGTGTTTCAATTTTCCTTCTGTTCTTTCTTCTCCTGTATGGGATTCTGGGAGTGCAGATGTTTGGAACTTTTACGTATCATTGTGTGACAGATGACACACAGCCAGGGTGAGTTCACCTGTGCAGGCATGACGTGGGCCTGTTCTTTCATTGCTTATGTTTTATTTTAGTTGGCATTAGTAGATGTAAAATGGACTTAATAGATTAAAAGCAGTGCAGCAAAATGCACTAAGGCAAATTGAGGAAACAAAAGTAGTAAGAATTATGAAAAATGCAAATTTTAACTTTGACTGAGAGATTACAATTTGTAGCATTTGGCTACAGTTTGACTTAGGGGGCTGAGTGGCTGTGTATGTTGGGTGGGGCAGGGAGGTGAAAGAGCAGGAAAGCAGAAGGGACTTTTAAGAAGAGCATTGCCACTTGTGGCCGACCTGGGTCACTGATGATTCATCAGCTTTTGCACTCTTCTATCTTTCCCTAGATTGTCTTTTTATTGGGCCAGACCTAAAGACGCCCTAGAATCATAGAATCAAAGTTCAGGCTGGAAGGGACCTTTAGCAGTCATCTAGTCCAACCTCCCTGCAATGAGCAAGGAACGGCTTCAACTAGATCAGGTTGCTCAGAGCTCCTGACCTTGCATGTTTCCAGGGATGGGGCATCCACCACCTCTCTGGGCAACCTCTTCCAGTATCTCAGGCCCTTTCTGAATTAATAATTCTCTGCTACGTGATGCTCAGATTCAAAGACCCTTTTTTCCCCCAGCCTTTGCAAAATACTGATGATAAATATTTTATGCTGGTGATTGAGTATACATCATGTTCTTGACTCAACATGTACTTAATCACAAGATTACCTCGAAGTACAGTGTAGCCTCTTGAGTCACTGAGTCAATTTTAGGTTTTTGAAAGGCTGGATTAGAGAAAAACCTTAAAAAGGGACAAATATCCTGTGTATAGCCTTAACTCCTTTTTCTTTCAATATCATCAAGTATATGTTTTTAGCTGTATAAGTATTAGAAATCTAATTTAAGTTACTTTTAAGGTACCTGGGATAGGCACCTTCAGTAAGCAGTTAATCACTTTTGATATCTCCAGACAAGACTTATAATTTCAAATGGGCTCCCATGATTGTGTATGATGACTACAGTTACACTGGACACCACTTTTTTCCCTGAAAGTGTTCCTGCAATTATTCTGATGAATGGTGCTCCTCCAAAGAACAACCAACTTTTTTCTTTGTTATTGACATGTGGATGTATACCTCAGTTTTGGCATACTACTCATTCCTACTCTGAAAATACTGATTTCCTTTTCTTGTCTGTAATACTCATCATTATATGTTGTGAAGATTTACACCTAACTGTTCCTGTTATAAATTTTGAGAAATGCAGTGCAGAAGCTCAGATTGGAGTTAGGGTGTGCCTTCTTCATGTAGATCAAGAATGGCCTTCCTGGAGTTAGCTCTGGAATTTATAATTCCCACCATGGGCTAGGAAAATAAATATAGAGAAAGAAATAACGGTTCTGGTGCAAAAAGAGGACAATATGGACAGATATTGGTCCAAAATATTGTTAGAAAGAAGGGGACATGTCACTCCTGAATCCAGGAAAGTTTAGTAGCTGGGATGTAATAGAGCACAAAAGTATGAAAATTGCCTTGCCAAATTTTACTTTTGTCTTTGAGGTTCAGTTTCCCAATTTTACAATGAGGGTTGAGCATTCCTCTCAGAGGTTGAGTCTGTCTGTCTGTCTCTCTGTTTCAGGTGGCTCAGTTCCAGGCAATGGAGAGTGGCCAGAGTTGTCTGTACTTGTCCTTAAATAACATCTGTCTTTAATAAGCCACAGCTGTAAATTTTCATTATTTTTTCAAACCAGATCCCGAGCTTCCAAGTCAAGATTAGAAAAATGAAAAGCATCCAATTAGTGACCACCTGTGAGAACTTTAATTTTAGGTATTTGCCTCTTATTATGCAGAACTCCATGGCAAGCAGGAAGGATAAAATCTTACCTTTGTGGTCAAGACTTGATCTATTTCTGACATTTTAGAAATCATTCTTAAGTCTACTGCCTTATGAATTATTATTATGAGGGAGTCAAGTTTCTTTTGAAAATGGTGTCTTAAAATCTTCCTGTTCTTTTTTATTTGAAAGGACGTGGTGTCTTCATCCGACATTTATTGCCTCTTTGACTGCAGCAAGTTCTTTTCTCTTTCCTTCATTAACAGTGCCCACACTGACTGACCTCCTGTCTCCCCACCTCCTGAGTAATTTTCTGATGTTAGCTATGACAAACAAAAATACTGAAGTGAGCTAACCACAATCTGAGTTTTCATTCTGTCTGAGAAATCAGCAGAATCTGACTTGCTTACAAAGGCTGAAAAGTTTATTATTGTTGTTTGATAAGTCCTTTTTTTCCTGTATTCTTACAATTGTCTTCCCTATGAGGAACATTGTCTTCTTCTTATACAATTTTATTACTCTATTTCCTCATGATTATGACTTAGATTTTTTCAACTATGCTGTAAAAACTTTTTCCTGATCATATCTCCAACCAATATATCTTTTCCTGTCAAGAATTGGTGTATTATGTGGATTTCCATAGAATGGGTCTTCTTTAGTTGTTTAAAAAATGATGTGTTTGAAAAATAAAATCCAATTATCTTGATAAATCTATATATTATAAACAATTTGACAGGTTTTTGGGGGTTTTTATTGTTTTTGTTGGGTTTTTTGTTTGGCTTTTTTTTTTGTTTGTTTGGTTTTTTGTTGTTGTTTTCTCTTTTTTTCTTTTTTTTTTTGTTATATCTGAGATTAATTTCAGAGATATGCAATATAAGGTGAAAATAATTGTGTTCCTAGATCTACTGTAATTTACTCTTGCTAACCTCCAGTATATAAATGGTACTTTCACACAGTACAGGAGAAAGAATTTTTTTCTAAATCAGTTCTGTAGCTACTTTTAGCTTTCTTTATTTTTACTCCCAAGATATATTTGACTACACAGTAATTCCAAAGCACATGGTCAGTTTGTATGTATTCCACAACAGTAAATTTTCCTTTTGTAAATCTCAGTCTGCACTGGAGCTAGGGGAAAGGAAGCCTCATCAAAAGAGAAAAAGCTAATATGGATAACTGCCATAAATGGTAGTACTCACCTATTTTCCCAAAGTCATTCTTTAAGGTGCCTTTTTTTTTAACACTTTCAATAAGCTATAGGCTGAATATTTCTGTACTCATCTGCCTTGTCACCATGGCAGTCAGTTGTAAATCCTTTGCAAATTTTCTTGTTTAAAGCAGGAGATGCCCAGGAAAAGAGATAAGAAAAATAATTACTGAGTAATAGAAAGATCTAAGAGGCTTCTGGTCATCTTTCCATCTGTCTGTGGATAGGCCATGAAAATGTCAGAAAACAGCTTCAAAGACTCTGAAGCTGAAAGTTCACCACAATATCTAATAGAGGAAATAAATACAATTAAAAAGAACAAAAGGAATTTGAGATTCTGTGTTACATCAGCAGTGAGAAAGTAAGAATGAGTAATTAGGTTTCTGAGAAAGGGAAGAAATCAAAGCTCAAGCTCAAAAATCAATGTAATAGGACTTCTTTAACAGAGCACATTAGTTTATTGATTTTAGTGAACAACCAGATCTGCTTTAATATTGTCTTCAGGACTTACTCGCAACCTCTCTTACTGGTAGCATGTCTCTAGTATAAACTCCTCAGGGACAAGAGAAATGGAAAAAAATTTACTTTTATAGGCCTGATGTTGTTTAAACCCCAACCAAAACCAATTAAAATACAGCATCTCAAATACCAATCAAAAAAGGAAGTAATTCAGTTTAAATGGACTCATGTCAGAAGAATGGATGAGAGTGCTGATGTGGTGAACAGTATTGGTGCCCAGGAGAAAAAGCCTTCAGGAGCTGGGCTCTTGCACTTTCAGTGGGGGGCATGTGATTTCTGAGCAGAAATCCTATTTTTTTTATTAGAATTGTTATACAGATAGTTACCCAAAGTGATTCATTTAACACAGATTTTACACTGTCTGTGTTTTTCCAGCTCAGTTTTAACTAAAAAGGTGACCTTTTAGTGATGGTCTAGAATAGAATGATGAGAACCCAATTACTTCAGCTCCTGGTGGCTCAGTAATGGCATGTACTTGTGTGTATTACGATAGGGAGCAGTTTAAGTTTACACAATTCTCCATCTCAGGGCAGACATGAAAGTTGATTGAATTTCTTCTCAGCCTGTCAATTTTTATGAGATTTTCTTAAGAATAAGTCATTGGGAGTAAACTGGAGTGGATTTTATACATTATTGGGAAATTGGCTCACTATAAAGAATTTGAATAACATAATCTCCTCTTTGCTGTAGGGAAAGTTATATATTGAGCCACAAGATTTTTACCTTTTATTCACTGTAACAATAACACCTGGTGAGTACTGAGCTTTCCACGGAAACCTGCAGGAGACCAGGATTCCAGAAGTCAGAATGTCCTGCAGTGTATCACAGAATTGAGGGAAAGACCAGACATCCCCAGAAAAATGGAATCCCGAGAGTGATCTCCACTGAATCTGCCTGTTGTGTGTTTGGGTAGTGTTTGATTTCTTAAACATAAAGGAAGCTAGGAAAGTTCTGTTCTTTATATTGCAAGAGGAATCTAGGCAACTCATAGAGAAGGCTGTGGATGTCCTGACATTCACAGGTAAAATAGCAGTTACCACTGAGCAGTACATCTAATTTAATCTTGAAATGCTGTGCAAAAGAATCACTTCTAGATGTGCAAGCATTTATAAGGAATACTGAGAAAGAATTTTAAAAGAGATCTGTTTCCATCTTGTTTCAGTTCTCTTTCCATGAGTGATCTATTAAATACAGTTTTGAAAACCAGGGGACTGCTTTCAGTTTTTATTGTTGTCTGGAAGCAGAATGCAGTGCCTAAATTCTATTCCTCTCTCGATCCCTTGGATTAATGCAATTCAATAAGGCCTGGGAAATGCTAGAATATTCATCTATCCCAAGATATTTGTGAGCACACACTGAAGCCTTCATCTCAGCTACTTTATTAGTTCTGAGAACTTGTGGAGAGTGGGTGGGAAGCACGAAAACAGT